CGTGCGGGGATTGGCGCCGTTTACTTTTGTCGCCAGCTCTCGGTTCTCCCCCATCTGTCGGAGGAGGAAATGGTAGCAATACCCCCACCCTTCCCCCGTTTCCCCCTTTTGGGGGCCTCCTGCGAGGCCCTCGTCGTCACCGCTGGATTCGCGTCGAAATCCTGGTCGGAGCGCACCCCGGGAGGGGTCCGGGGAGTAGCGGTATTGGTACCTTTTGGTTTCCACCATCTCCCGGAAAGGGAGGAGGAGGAGGAGGAGGCGGAGGAGGAGGAGGAGGAGGAGGAGGAGGAGAAGGAGGCTCTTTTCTCCCCCACCTCCCTCTTCCCTTCCTGCCACTCCCTCCTTCCCGCCTCCTTGGCTTCGCGCCTCCCCTCCAGGCCCCCCCTCCGACCTCTCCTCCCCCTCCTGCTCCTCCTCCTCCTCCTCCTGCTCCTCCTTCTCCTGCTCCTCCTCCTCCTCCTGCTGCTCCTCCTGCTGTTCTTCCTCCTCCTCCTGCTCCTCCTGCTCCTCCTCCTCTTCCTGCTCCTCCTCTTCCTGACCATCTCATGCCCTCCTCCTCCTCCCTCCTCCTCCCTCTCCTCCTCCTCCTCCTCCTCCTCCTCCTCCTCCCCCTCCTCCTCCTCCTCCTCCTCCTCCTCCTCCTTTTCCTTCCCCTTGCCCCCAGCGCGTGCCTCCCCCAGGACTGCGAGTACTGCCACGAGTGCCCCAAGGGCGCGCTGAAGGCTCGCAAGAAGGCCCCGCGAGGAGGAGGAGGAGGAGGAGGAGGAGGAGGAGGAGGAGGAGGAGCTGGGAGTAGCTGAGAGCGGACCACTGTCCTCGGCCCCTCACGGGGCCGCGTCAAAAAGAGGGTCAGAAAACCCAATCCTCCTCCTCCTCCTCAAAAACCCTCCCAGGCGGGCCGCCCCAGTCCTTGCCCACTCGCTGGTGGGCCACCGCTGAGATCGGCAGCAACGCCGCCTGGGCCTCCACTTGTGGGAGGTCGGGAGGGAGGAGGAACCTGCGGCGCTCGGGACCTTCCTTCCTGCGACGAGACGACATCCAACGACTCGACTAAGATCAGTTGGTCCCGCAACGCCATGACCGCCAGGATCGGCCTGGGGGGCCCTTCTCGTCTAGGAAACAGGCCCCTCGAAAGACGTCGGAGGTTCTCGGTCCCCTTCGGGGACGGTCCTCGACAGGTGCTCTTGAGAGCACGCGGGTCCGTCGTGGCGTAAAAACCACAGCCCGTGCAACACGTAAGGAACCAACGCGGGAAGAAACGGCAGCGGTGGCTTCGATGGATCTCGAGCGCCGCTGTGCGCACTGCTAGCGGAACCACTGGGCAGGCCTCCACTCCCAAGGGGGAGGCACTGGCACACGGCGTCGCAGCGAAAGACTGTATGCTGGCGTCGGCCACAACCATCTGATAAGTGACGCACACCCACTTCGTCCCGACACGCTTCAACTGGTGGGCCGACAGACTCAGCAACCTCTGGGGCTTGGGAAGGCGAGCAACGCACGGCAGGCGGGAGGAACATGCATCATCAGCCGCTGTCGCGTCGATCATCGCACGACGGGCACGCCTACGGATGAGCGAGGCAGTGGCATCGACACGATCGACGTCGGGCCACGCGCCAAGCAAAGCCGTCTCTCCCGCCAACTCCGCCGCCCTCCCAGCCCAAATATCAGCCGACGAATTCCCGCAGACTAAAAACAAGTCCCACTGGGAGCAGACTGCCTCGGAAGATTCATCTCTGTGAGACGCTGTCCAGATCACCTGAAGCATCTCCCTATCAGCTCGTGACTGCCACAACACTCGCGCTTCGGTCCAAAGGTCCTCGTTTGGCCCCGACGGTCTTGGCTCCCGAACGCGGGACCTCCAGGACCAAAACAAGGGGAGGTGGTCGGTCACAAAAGTAAGCGGGCCTCGGACCTCCGCTAACGCCAAGACAAAAACGAAAACTTCAGCACGCGGGACAGTCGGTTTCTCGCCCGCCAAGGGCTTCGCCAAGGCAGCGACAAGATCAAAAGCCTGCTGAGACCTGGAAAGGGCAACAATGGCGGATCCGCATCGACGACGTCGTGGGTCATCACTGTACTTCCCACCAGATCCGTCTCCGAAAATGAAACAACGACCTTCCCACTGGCCTTCCGCAAAACTGGCAGGGCTCCCAAATCGCTCCTCGACTCCTCGAACCAGCTCCTCATCAAAAACAGGGTGGGTGAGGCGCGAGGGAGGGATGCCCCGAAGCCAGAGGGAAGGTTCGGCCTCGTGCGACGACACAGCAAGCGGCACCAGGCAATCTGTGCGAGAGTAATCCTCATGCTCAGCATTTTTCTCACACTCCCAGATGCGATGAAAGAGAGATTCAGCGCTTTTGCCGCGGCGGACACAGGTGGCCCCCGCGAGGTAGCCTTGGGAAAGCATCCTCTGTCTGGTCCACTGGCCACCGCTGACTACAGTGACGTTTGCAGCCGCCAGCGCTCGGTCTCCATGGCGCTCCAGTCTGCGTTGCTCTCGCCAGAAGGGAATCAAATCCGCGCCCTCAGCAAGGTCCTGTCCCGCCTCATGCTTGGCAGCCTCGCGCCACAGGATCCCGCGGATGTCCGCAGCCAGGTCCTCGAACAGAGCCTCAAAGGAAGCCAAAGCAGAGAAACCTGTATCATGACGCGAGGGAATGTCCCATTGATCAACAGGCTCGGAATCGCACTCCGTAGGGCGAAGCCAAGACGTAGCAGCAACAGGGTCCCAGCCAGTATCCATCAGCGTTGCCTGGACCGTGGCAATGGGCCCCCGCACATAAGCCCAGCGACGTCTCGCAGCCTTCTGCAGCCTCTTACGTATCAACGGCCAGGCACGAATCACTCGATCATGTAGATCAGGATGTCGCAGCCACAGCGCAACCCACTCACGCACGACCTGCAGCGGGATCTCCAACGCAGGGTCAGGTACCACAGGGTCACACGCCAATGTAGTAGTTAGGCAGCGTCCTCTAGCTCGTCCTCCAACCATCTGACCAGCTTGTCGCCTCATACGCATCAAATCTGACTTGCTCATGCCAAAGACTTGATGGCCATGCAACGCCTGAGGGACTGCACCAGTATTCCAAAGCCCACGAGATATTCTCGCCAGCGCACCAATTCGCCTCAATCTGTGAATTTTTCCAGCACGCCGCATGGCACTCTTGATCCGCTTCTTAGCCTTCAGCACAGTGCGCTTCCGTCCAGCAGCAGCATCCAAGCCAAGGTCCACTGTCTCATTCACAGCCTGAACAGGGAAACCGCGAGCCCGCAGTGCACGAGCCGTCCGCTTGGTCACCGCAGGGTTTGAGCCAATAAGCACGGTCTTGGCCGAAATGACCGTACGCTGATCCTCGAGACCCTCTAGGAGGTCCATGGCGGTAGAGATCATGGCCTGCCCCACCGAAGCGCAACTACCTTCGCACCTGGCCGTGGTGTCATCCACAAACGTCCAGAGTCCCGCCGCTGGGGACCGCCGATGCACGAACTCCAGGATAGGGTGCAAAAACAGCTTGGCCAGCCCCACCCCACGTGGGGATCCCGCCGCAATAGATCTGGAAGGAAACATCGGGCGACTCAAGACAGCGCGCTCCTGCAGGTATCTGGGCGCCAAGAATTGTTGAACCTCCAAAGAAATCAAAGCCGCAAGGTAACCAACCTTCCTGGCAAGCCGCAGAAGCATGAGCAGGGAAACAGAATCATAGAACTTCTCAATGTCCAATAGCAGCGTGAGGGAGGTGACTCCCAGCTCCAGTCCTGACTCATCCAAGCGCGCCCTGACCAGCCCAGCACGCAGCGCAGAAGATCCACGGATGGCCGTGTCCCAATGGTCCGGGAGCGCCTGCGACCACGATTCACTGAGGGTAGCACGACATTTGCTCCAAAGCTTGGGGAGCAACGCCGTCGTGCCCAGGATGCGGTCTCCTCCTCGAGGTTTCGCAGCAATAGCACAGCGTGTAATGGGGCACTGCCTAGGCCACACGCGCTCACGTTCACACTGAGAGAGAAGACGCAACACCTGCTCGCGCGCTGGAGTTGGCAGCCGTCGGACGTTACCAGGTGCAGCCCGACTTATTCAGAACAGAATCCAACTGCGCAAGAGAAATCGGCTCCAGTTCCTCCTCAGCGGCTTGAGCCGAAAGGGTGGTGAGGTACTCCGTGAGCTGGCTTCGCGTGTCCACAGGGTCAGTCCAGATGCCCTCCCAATACCGCGCCTTGTACTCCATTACCGTGTCTGGGTCCGCAATCTGGTTGGCCGAGTTCGGAGTCAGAACAACCGTGGGCGCAGGTAGCTCCTTGACATGGCGATGAAGGGCGCCAGGCTTGCGTGCCCACATCTCCTTGGCCCACAAAGTAAAGCTCCTCCGCTGCGTCGCAAAACCGCGGGCCTGCGCCATTGCATGGTACTTCTCAAAGCTGGCCAACACAGCCTTCACCTCCTGCACCTCGAGCGACCCCAAGCGGGCACCACGCTCATAAGCCTCCTGGCGCTCTATCTCGAGAACCTTCTTGCCAAAGACCTCATCCTGGGGCAACGCCTTCAGGGTGCTCAGCTGGGCCTCCAAGTCCTTCAAGCACTTGCGTTGCTGACGAAAATCTGTGCGGTGTAGTCGCAGCGCCAGGTACCTACCAGCCAGAGTTGTGCACACTCCCCAATGCTCAGCAGGCGCGAAACGCATGTGCGCCCGCCCAGGCGATGGCCGCGCCTTAGTGAGCCGAGAGCCCAAGCCGCACGCCCTTCCAACGTACAAGTAGCGCATGTCGTCCGTGACGTCACTGACCTCCAAGGTGGCGTGCTCCATCGCTGTGACCCACTGCGCGTGCTCCAAGGTGACCTGGTCCACGGCCTGCCACTGCTGCGGGTTGCCATACGTGAGGCCGCCGACAGTCTGCTCCATCTCCTTCGTCATCGTCATCATAGCTCCGCCTGCGCAGCCGAGGCACTGCTGTTCCAGACCTCCAGTGGGATGGGGTACGGGGCTGGCGTGGCCTCCACCTGCATGTGGCCCGTGAGCTCCAGGTAGGCCTCCTGCAGGTGCACGTCCAGATGCGCAGCTCTCCTTTTCTGCATCTCCAACTTTCGCAACGAGGTCTTGCTGGTCGGGTCTGGGGCTGGGGGTGGTCGCACGGGCAGCGGGAGTGGCCGCGGGGCTGCAGCAGCACGGTAACGCCACGCCTGCGCCATGCCTCCCACGTGCAACCGAAGTCCACAATGCGTCTTCCAAGGAACTCGGTGTATCGCCTCGAGGGAGAGGCGCGGCACCAGATCACTCCTGCAAATGCCGTAATCAATGAGGCTGCCTCCACCTTTGTCACAAGTGATGTCCACGTCAGGCCGTAGCAGCTGGCCTCCAATCTTCGAAACGAAATCCTCCTTCTGCACGCGCTGAAACGGGATGTTCCAATCGCCCAGGATGACCCAGGGGTCCGTGAGGGAGAGCACAAACGAAGCCAGTGCACTGATCTTCGTCACGTTGACGCCGCCAAGGCCGTCCTTGGGAACCAGGTAGGCCACAATGACCACCAGATTGCCTCCTCGTAAATGTAACGTGGCCGCCGAGAAGCCTGAGAACGGGTCCCTGTGGCCCTGCTGGTGCACCAGCTCCCGCATCGCGTCGAAACCTGTGGCCGCAACATGCGACCGAATAGCAATGAACTCACCTCCCGATGAGCCCGACTGAGAACGTCGCGTCGGCGTCGCAGGTGTGGCCAGCAGTCGTCAGCCATCAACCGCAAGCTCTTGCTTCACCTTCGGAATCTGGTCCTTAACCACGTGCGTCTCGCACAATATGAAAACGTCCATCTTGTTGCCTGCCTCGTTGAGGTAATTGTGGGCCTGCGGGCCCCGCTTCGTGATATTGCCGAAAGTGATGCTAAACGCGAGGCGCAGCAGCAGGAGGCTGGCCCATGCCATCGTCGTCCTTCTCGGCGTGCGGCTGCGCAGCCGCGGGGGCACTCGAGGGAGCCGAGGCTGCTGGGGTACCCGCACCGCGGGCCTGACGGAGGCGGGCCTTCGACTGCTCCTTGACGCGCTCGATAGCGAACTGCTGCTTGGGCGCGTCCACCACCGTCGGCTCCTGGGCCGCGACCTTGTCCACCTCCTGCGACTGCACCGCACCAGGGACTGCGAGCGCGTCCTCCTCCTCTGCGCCGCCCACCTTGCGCCTCTTCTCCAGGTGGGCCTGCTGCGCTGCCTTCGCCTGCTTCGCCAACTCATCGAACTCTTTGTACTGCGCATACGCGCTGCTGACCAACTCAGCCAATGACTGCATGTCCGCTTTGAATTTGAGCAGCTTGGCGCGATCCTGGGCGTCGTAGCTGCCCAGCTCCTCGAACAGTGACTCGTCCACCTCAGGCGCCTTCCAGCCTTGCACAGGGGGGCGGCCTGTGCAGGCACCGCCTTCGACTGCGCGTAGTACTCGTCAAGCACGCGCTGGTGGTCTGCCTCCGCCTCCGCCATCTTGAGGGCCGCCGCGTCCTGTAGGGCCTGCGCCTCCTGGGCCTTCTGCTGGGCAGCCAGCAGCGCCGTGGCCGCCGCATCCAGGTCCCGCTGCGCCTGCTCCTTTCGGTTGACCGCCTGCTTGAGAGCAACCGTCTGAGGTCAGTCCCGCTTCGGCTTCTTGGGAACCGCATCAACCACACGACCTTTGAAGTCCCGAAGTGCCTGAAAATCCACCTCGACCTTGTAGCTGCCCTTGTTTTCCACGAACTTCTTGATGAGACTATCGAGCTCCTGCTCTGGGGTAAGGCGGGCACGCTTCGACGTCCACCACGGCGGTCTCTCCCCACGGGTCTCCTGGTCCCCGCTCGACCGCCAAGAAGGTGAATCAATGACATCCCCACACCGATCCCACCAGCCACCCGATCGCCGAAGCTTCCCGTCGAAGACCCACCCTGAACACGAGGCACAGACCGTGTATGGGGCGAGTCCGCGGCATGCCTCTGACAGAACTGGCGCGGGGGCCCAGATCCCGCAGGGAAGGCCGAAAGACTCTGCCAGGCCGAACAGCCTTGCTCGCACTGGATTGGCGAGTGGCCTCAGAGCGGAGCCTCCCTCGCGCTCTGAGGTCGCCCCGAAGGACTCGCGGTCGTCGGGGCGGTTCATAGCCTTGAGCCAACATGGCTAGGGAGGAGGAGTTGCAGGAGGAGTTGCAGGAGGAGGAGGAGGAGGAGGAGGAGGAGGAGGAGGGAGGAGGAGAGGAGGAGTAGGAGGAGAGAGGAGGAGGAGGGGAGGAGGAGGAGGAGGAGGAGGAGGAGGAGGAGAAGGAGGAGGAGGAGGGAGAAGGGAGGAGGAGGAGGAGGCGGAGGAGGAGGAGGAGGATGAGGAGGAGGAGGAAGCCACGGGCTGAGGGGGGCTGGGCCGTCGTCGCCCTCGTCGGTCGCCCCCTCGTGCTCGGGCTCGCGCGCCGCGAGCCATCGCTCGGCGCCGCGGCCGCGGCAGGCGCCCCGCCAGGACGCCTCGTGAAGGCGAACCATCCTGGCATCGGCGCCAGCGGCAGCAACGTGCTCAGGCGCGCACGTTGCTCCGAGTCCTCTCTGCCGCGAGGACCCTCGCGGAGCACCACAGCGCCCAGCCCGACGACAAGATGGCGCAGGACTGGAAGCACCAGCGCGTGGCCTCTCGTGGTCATCCCGTCGGAGCTCAGCCCTGGCCGTGGAGGTCGGGATCTCGGACGCGACGACGCAGGACGTACGGGAAGAACGACGACCAGAGCTGGCAGCAGGACCGCGACGGCCACGACCAGTACGACGGCGACGCCAAGGACGAGCATGCTCACCACTTCACCCACCACGGCGAGGACACCCACAAGAAAGGCTCACGGGCTCGCTCCACACCCCGCACAAAGTCACGGACGCAGAGCAGGAAGCACTACGGCGCGCACAACTTCTTCGACGGCTTCCAGTTCTCCAAGAAGCAGCGCGAGATCCTCGACCAGGTCCTCCCTGCCGACGACGTGCGCATGCAGTCCCACGAGAGCTTCTCCACGCCCCCGCTGGAGGAGGACATGCGCCGCCTTTGGGTGACAACCAAGCGCGGACGCATCGCTCGGTTGGCAGACCAAGCTCAGGGCGCACGCGCCGTCGGCGTCGACGATGCCAAGATCGTCGCAGAGCTGTCCGTCAACAAGGCAATGCTCCTCCTCACGTTGTCTCCCGACGAGCGGGTGCACTACTACCGCCGATGCATCGACACCACGGTCAGGCAAAAAAATGCGCTCAAGGACGACATCAGGAAGATGCAGACCGAGCTCGACAACACGGAGGGCAGCTTGAGGATACTACGGGCTCTACTCCAGGAGTCGAAGTTGAAGAGGGACGACGCCACAACCGACCTCGAGTATGACGACTTCTACAGCGACAACGACGAGAGCGAGAAAGACCACCACAACAGGCGCAGGACTCGGACACAGACACCTCACCCACGACAGCGCGAAGATCATCGACCCCAGCAGTACGCAGCACCATCAGCAGCACCACTTCGACAGCAGGACGACCCACACCAAAAAGGTCACAAAGAGCTGCTTGCGATGATCACGGACCTCTCCAAAAAGGTGGAACAGCAGCGACAACACACGGGACCCCATCAGCATCACCTAGCTCACCTCCACCAACAAGCTGATCTCCGACAATCCGAGCACCGCGAACAGTTGCAGGAGGAGTTTGCGCGCATGGAAGCACACACGTCTCGGAAGGCCTTCAACGAGCTTCATCTCGAACTACAGCACCACGAGCAACGACTCCAGCGCCGCTTCCAGGAGGAGATAGACGAGATCAACGTGCGCAACCGCCACCTAGAACATCAGCAGGCACAACGGTTCCTACGACAGTCCGAACAACGACGTCAGGAAGATGAAGCTGAACAGGCACATCGCATGAAGACCGAGCTCGAACAGCACCAACTACTTCACGACGCCGCACGTGGTCACCTTGCACGGCGGGAAGCAGTACAGCAACACGAACTACGGGAGGCTAAGCCATTTTGGCTCCAGCATCTAATATCCGAGCACCGCCTTCAACAGGAGGAAGCTCAGTGTGCTCACAACCTCCTACTTCAGCACGAGATGAGAGGGCAGCAACAAGAAGACGCACTTCGACTGGCTCAGCAACGACAGCTTCATGAAATCAACTGCAGGGCTCATGCGGAATCATCGGCACTCATGCAAGCCAAAGAGAAGATCCTCGAGGAGTACGGTGAACTGCGTGCGCAACAACACGAAGCAGCCACGATTCGCACCGAGCACCAGCACGAACGAGCCCGTCTCCAAGGCGAACGTGCCAACCTACACCTCACCGAGCAGCAGCTCCACGACAGGTACATCAACCGCCTGGCGACGACCGAGGAGATGCGAATAAAGGAAAGGGAGGAAATGCAACGTGAGTTTCGACAAGCCGAGCTTCTTCATGACCCTCTTGATCTTGAACTGCTGCAAGAATTGAACACGAGATTCAGCGAGAGAGTCGAGGAGGAGAACAGACAGCAGGCGTTAGCCGACACAGAGGAGAAGCGCATCCACCGCGAGATCGAAGGCGCCCTCACCGCGATCATCCCAGGCCCCTACGAGCTGCCTCACCCACACGCCGACATCTACCTCGAGCAGCTACGACAGATGAGCTCTCCACCGAACGCAGCTCATTCCACGTCCAACTCAGACGCATGGAGCTTACGAGACCTCGGCGTTGCAGCCGCACCACCCACCTCACCACCCGCCCCGAACCCCGACCACACCCACGACAGAACGCCCACACACCCTCCAGCCAGTATCGCCCCACTCAGCGATGCCGACCACGACAAGCCCTCTGAAGCACACCATGGCGATACACAAGCACACCAATCGAGCTCTCCAAGATCTTCGTGCTCTCCCACGCCCATCGCCGACGACGGCTACCTCTCTCAGCACGACGACGGACAGTCTACGCCCATTCCTGACCTTCATCACGACTCCGACCTCGAAGGCACCGACACCCCCATCCCAGCTGCGCAGGCCACTCCCCCCACCCCACACATCATCTTCCCCGAAGTGCGTGCCATGTCCGCCCCCCCCGACACGAGATCGACACCCGACGACCAACAGCGATCCACGCCCCTTACCACAATTCTCATCGATCTCAGCGACGACGAGCACGAAGTACCCACCACGCCCAAGACTCGACCGATCACCAGCATCACCCCAACCCAAGCCTACAGCCCCATCATCCCTCCACCCAGATTCCATATGGGAACGCCCGACAGGGCCCAGTCAGCGCCACCCTCACGAACCCGATCGGCCCTCAAGAGACAGGACTCCACATCACGACCACCGCGGAAGGTCCGTATCCACGACAGCGGTGACGGCTTCGTGGACATATCCGACCGCGTCCCTCTCCGTGCCGATCCCGACGATGAAGGATCGGACACCGCGCTGCGTCCAAAAAACTAGATACGAACGACCCCGATGAGGGCGCTCTGGCTCATCGGACCCGTCGAAAAAGACCAGAGCAACAGGCCCCTGGGCGGCCTCAAGCGACCATACGTAACTATCGGCCCAGCGCCACACAGCATCACAATGTCACAGACGCAGCAACGAACCTTGCGACCCCTGCGGTGCAGGTAACTTGCAGCTTCAGACACGCACACCCACCCCGCCTTCCACTAGGGAAGCCTACACCGACTGACCTCGACAGGCTGACACCCGCTTTGGGGACTGCGGATCAGCACCGAGCGCCAGGCAACATAGACAGCCGACTCTGCCATCCTCCCTCCTCGACAGCAGACTCCACTAGCTTGCAGACCGCAACCAACCTGACGACCCAGGGGGTGCAGGTGACTTGCACTTCTGACAGCCACCTTCCGACACACACCACCAGTCCACGTGCACTGACTCCTGCTTTGGGGATAGCAGATCAGACCCGACGGACAACGGCAGCAGTTTCACTTGCTTCACACTACCAGCACGACGCAACCGATGGACAACCAACAACTATCCACCATAGGCGCCACCCGACCGAAGAGTGGGAAATCCACTCGAGCGGTTCGCGCCCCCACCCAAGCTCGACTGCCATACTGGGGAGGGTCCCCCCAGATGGCACCTCGCGCAGGTTGACACCCCCACGAGCGCCACCTGGCTCCTACGCCGCCACCTCCGACACATCGCCAAGGCACGACCTACCTCGCTCCACCATCTCTGAGAGCACTCAGCGTGTCACGCCGACCACACCAAGGGCGAGGCCAGGCGACGAGACGAATGGGTTACATACACCACCCCGACTCGAGCGACCCAAGCCCGACGTCACGGTCACCACAACTAGCCATTTTGGCTCTATGCATGCACGGAAACTCAACGGCTCCGACGTCCACAACGAGACGCCCGAGTACCACAGTGCGATCACGATAGACTACTTCCCTGGGATCGAGGATACCTTCCTCGATAACAGCAGCAAGATGGATAGCGGCAACTTCCACCTCGATGACGACGCCATTCGCACGCGGCTTCTGGCACGAGTCCGACGGCAGCAGCGACGGCGACTAACAGCACAGCAGACATCTACGTACACCACGACCCACAATCGATTCCAAGCCCTGCAACCCAGCCCACCGCCACCCTCAGCAAGACATACCACCACGCTTCCGACACAGCAGCCCACCGGCCATCCACCAGTAGTCCTGACAGCATCCCAGGGCGCTGGACATGGCACAGCAGCACCCGACAGAGACTGCCACGTGGCCACAGGTGAAAGGCGTCAACGACAAAAGACAGCCATGCACCCCTTTCGATGCCCAACAGGAGTTTATGCAACAACGCACAACGGACAAGCTGCACACAGACGACAGCAGAAGGCGACAGCATTGTTACCGTTTCGAGCACAGCGACCACCCAATCCCAGCGCCGACAAGCAGCCCCAACAACCGCAACCATCTTACCACGAGGCCAATCTCGACATCACAAGATATCACGGCCTG